TTTCAACTTTGGATAAAACTTTCTCTTCCACAAAGCGAAATCTTTTCCAACTGCTTGATTGCCCATTCGACATTCCAAATAAAGGTTAAAACAATTTTAGAATGACTATACTACCAAAAGTTTTGATAAATCCTTCCAAGAGTCCAAGAAAGCCATTACACGCCTTCAAATCACCGCTGAGTGATTTGAAGGGGACAATAGCTTTCTTGGACTCCATTTACACTGTTCGCCTTTTAAAACAGAATTGTTATAACCGTTTTTTGAAATGAATTTCTGATTATGAACAAAGAAATACAACTATTTCTGCTATTTCTGGTCTATATATTGTAAAGTTGGTATAAACGTTGACCTAAAACATTCAATCTTAAATTTGACAGAAAAGCTTAATTAAATAATGTAGCTTTTTTTTTGTTTTTGTTTTTATTTGTTTCATACATAAGCCTTTCATACATTATTACTAAAATCTAATGAATTCATATTTGCATGCGGTATTCAGTTTTGAGTTTGTTTTGGCTAAAGCGCAGTATTTAAAGGCAGAATTAAAAAAAAATTGCCTACACTGCATTTCTCGCTAAAGTAATTTTTCTCAACATTTGTGTTGTCAAAATGCAACATTAAATGTTGAGTTAATTTACGCAGTATTTAATGTTAAAAGTCGTCAACAATAATGTTGCGTGGTGATCAACATTTTTATTGCGTTTTCGCAACATTTTTCTCTGTGTACTTTTTTTTTTAAACATCTTTGCTTCCAACAAGACTGCAAGTAACCACTAGTTAGTGTTGGAAGCTACTGAAAGAGAAAAGATGAAGATTGTAAAGCAAGATAACGATTGACAGACGACTTAAAAGATTGCAAGTTATATGAATCAGGAAAGCAAGATGAAGGAAGCGAAATTCCAAAGAACTGATGTTCGAGGAAAAAAAACTAGACAAATAAGAGTTTTTGGAGCACTTAGGAACAGTAACAGAAAAAGGATGAGACTTGATTAAATGACAAATGAGTAACACGAAAGTGAATTTTAGTAGATGGCACAAGAGACGCTAGCTCTTTAGAGCAGTGCCCATTATTGTATTTGTAGAAATGAGAAAGAGAAGTAACATTACGACGATGTGATAATGGTTGAAGGTTGGCTGCAAGAGCAAGTCCAACTATGTTTACAATGCATTTTTGCACCTTGTCTAAAAGAGAAAGAGCATCATTAGAAAATTCACCCCAGATATGGCAACAGTATTCCATACAAGGCCGAATTTGAGATTTATAGAGATAGAGAATAGAATCCAGAGTAAGAAAGTGTCGAGCTCGATAAAGAGATGCAACTTTAGCAGATGCTAATTTTGCAACGGATTGATATATGGTTTCCAAGAAAGATCACAAGTAAGAGTTAATTCTAGAAGATGAAGGGTAGATGACTCATCGAGTACATTAACGTTCATAATTATAGGAAGGTCTAAGTTATTGCGATAACACTTGGCTGAAAAAAAATTGAGTTTTATCTGAATTAAAGTTCACCAGCCACTGTAAGCCCCATGCTGTAGCAGAAGTGAGATCTTTTTTTAGGCTCAAATGCCCCCTCTAAGCAATCAGAGAGAGTTGGCTTTTTATCATGACAAAAATAAATGGTAGTATCATCAGCGAACAATGCCACCTTAGATGTGAGAATATCTGGAAAATTGTTAATATAAATTATAGTATAGGGTCAAGGATTGAACCTTGAGGAACCCCTGAGGTTACAGAATAAGAAGAAGAGTGCTGTCCATCAAGGACAACTTTTATACTACGATTGGAAAGGAAGGATTCAATAATCTTAAAGATGTTTCCTGATACACCGTAAGAAGAAAGCTTATGGAGAAGACCAGTATGCCAAACTTTATCAAAAGCTTTAAAAATGTCAAGAGCGATGGCCTTAACCTCTCCACCTTTATCTAATGCACGATAAAACCTATCGGTTATTACTGTTAGCAAATCAGCCGTAGAACGAGAAGATCGAAATCCATATTGATGATCAGAAAGTAAGTTAGTAGATTCAAGATGAAAAAATTAAGTGTTTGTTAATTATAGATTCAAAAACCTTGCTTATGATAGGAAGAAGACTAATGGGACGGTAGTTAGATAAACCAGATCGCTTTCCAGAATTTTAAAATAGGGATAACAGATGCTGCTTTCTAGCAGGTTAGAAAACAAGACTCTGATAAGCACTTGTTGAATAGTTTTGAAAGGATAGACGACAGCTCCAGAGAACACTTCTGCAAGACTATAACAGGTCGGACGTAGAGTTATTAAAGACTGTTTTTTATGGTATTTTCTCAAAGCCACTATTTCAAAAATTTATTCAGTTGCCTTGTTAGTCACAATGAATAACTTTTTTTAAGGGTTTTTTGTTCTCTTTGTGCCCGTGTGCCTAGGTAAAAAGTAGGATAGACCGGGGCGATTTCGCCACTTTTAATATTTCAAGAAAAAGATGTTATTTTGGAATAACACCATATTAAGATGATGTAAAACATTTATTATTTTAATATTATAACCTTATAACTATTGATTGATCATAGTTGCCGTCTAATTTGATTGGTTGTTGTAAATTTTAAAAAAGATTTGCTGTTTAATGTTAGTAATTGATATTATTATGTCACTCGTGATCCAAGTGGAATATTATTAATTTTGTAAAATTGATAGAAACTACATTTGAAAATAAATGCTTAGGTGAGAGCTTCATAAATTAGTTAAAATTATTTAACTGGCGTTCGTGGTAAATATTTTAAGTAGGTTTTTGTCCAAGTAGAATATTAAGGGGTGATTTCGCCGCAGAATAATAAAATAGTCCCATAGTTAAAAAAAATTAATAATGTTCAATATTTTTGCTTTCTAAACAATTTTTAATATTAATATTTATTATTTTATAAACAATTTTATAAAATCATTGGACTTATATCAGGAATTATAGTATGATAAATTTATTAGAAGTATTTTGAAGATATAATAAATCAATAGTTTTTAAGTGTACATTTAAAACTAAAGTACTTTATAATTTAACTTAAAAATAGTTTTCTAAAATTCTCCTAAAATTTTGTATTTGAAAATGTCATTTGTTCCAATTGAATGCATTTCTCATATTTGCATTTCTTATCATTAAATGCTGACCATCGCTGATTGTTTATAGCCACTATATTGATTAGCATGTTTAAAATACACCATTATAAAATCCAAGCATCGATAGTTAAAAAGATTATGCCAATCGGTAATAATTATTTTATTGCATTTTTACACTAAGTGTCAAAATCTAAAACTTGCTGTATATTTCCTATGTTTAAGATGGTACGCAAGTATCTCCCAAAGAAAAAGAAATCCTATAGTAATACCGACCTCCAATTGGCTATGCAAGCTGTTAAAGATGGCAGTAAAATATTAACGGCAGCAAAAACATTTGGAGTACTGACATTAACGCTAAAAGATAAGATGAATGGACGTCAACAATCGAGCTTTGTTGGAAGAAAAATAGTGTTTACAAAGCAAGAGGAACAAGCTCTTGTAACCAGGCTTAATTACATGACAGATTGTGGGTTTCCATTGACAACAAAGTGGTTGAGGTATACTGCTTATTTATATGCTGAAAAATTACATCGTTGTCAATTACTTCTAAAAAATTTGCCTACTACATGGCATAAATCTCCCTTAGATTACTCATATAAAAAATAAAAAGTCTCTTGATGTGTTTTCCTACCTAAGTGACTCAAAGAAAAAGAACTTCTCCGTATGCATATGGCTTAGAAAAGCATACCGATGCTACCGAGTACATCAAAAATCGATGCTACCGAGTACATCAAAAATGCTACCGAGTACATCAAAAATGCTACCGAGTACATCAAAAGCTTATAACAGAAACAGTAAAAAACAATTCACTGCTGAGTGTTCGGTGTGGCATGGGTGGATTCATCAAAATATTGGCCCCAATGCGTTTCTTACCATATATGGGCATGTGAAGTCTACTTTTGCATGGACATAATTCGAAAAAATATAAAATGCTTAAACTCTTTTTACATTGGCGAAATCGTCCCATAAAAAGCTAAATCGTCCTATATAAGTGTGTAATATGAATTGGTATTTATTAGTATAAATAAATTTTTTTTTGAATTTTTAAACGTGGTTGAAGTAAATATAGTTTATTCAGTTAATGGTATATGAAAAAGCGTATCAGGTTGAACAGACAATATTAAAGCAGCAAAAGTGACAAAACCGCCCCGGTCTACCCTACAGAGTTCAAGAATTTATTTTACTCAAAGAAAAGTATTTATTTACGTTTTTATTTTATTTTTCTTGATTAATTATAAATTTTAAAATGAAAACTAATTTCAGATCTAATTTTAATGCTAAAATGAAAACCGAGAACGATAAACCTCAACCGGATATTTATTAAACGCTATCATTAAAAAATAATAATAATAAAAACTAACGTCTTTGATCATGTTTTTGTGGTTTTCATGTTTAAAAAATTATGCACACATGCAAAATGAAGTACTTAAATGGACGAATTCTAAAAACTTTCGCTCATTCATTTTTAAAATTATTGTCAAAATACATTTTTATGGGTAAAGCTAATGAATTTTATGACTTAAGACCTAACTGCGTGATAAAATTCTAATATGAGATTTTTCCGGCTAAAAATCACATACTGAACCGGTTTACTGCAAAACTACCAGTTACTTGTAAACAAAATCGATTAACAAAAATAGTTTTAAAGGCACAGTTGTACATCCGGTCCAATATGACAAAATACAACTAGAAATATTTCTAGATTTTTCTAGACGTTAACATTTTTAACTCCTTTTTTTTTAAAAACCAGGACCCGAATCAAAGCATTCTTTATATGTTGTATTTACATGTTATTTCACTTTTTAATTAATTTTAGAAAAGAAAACGAGACCACGCGAGGCATTCTGAACAAGCAGTTATACAAACTGTTCTTCAAAGTCGCCGAGAATTTGTAGTCTAGTAACAGGACTACCAATCGCAAACATTAATGACCTATAAACTCTTCAAAATTAAAATTAGGATTTCTTTCACTACTTTTAAAAAAATCCGAAAAAAAACAACCTATTAATTTTTCAAAAATTAATTAATTAAACAAACTTTAATATCTTTTGATTACTTAAGTACACTCCAGAGAAAAGTTTGTTCACCGCTTGTTATTATAACAAAATTTTAAAAATTTACGTATGAGTAGCAAATTATTTTTTAGTTATAAGATTCAGATTTGGTTTGTAATTGTGGTTATGTAAATGTGTTTATAAAAATTTATGGGCTTATAATCATATAAAAGTGTTGTTATAATTTGCTAAATGTACTTCTTTTAGAGTACAACAAAATCATCATGAGATTTATAAACGTTTACTTGTTCATTGTCGCTATGTTGTTAATTCACCAAGCTGCTTGCGAGAGCGTTAAGTTTTCTTTAAAAAAACCTACAATACTGTTATCAATAATTTCAAGGAATGAAGAACATATCCTTCCAACATTTCTTGCATATATTGAACAACTCAACTATCCAAAGAATAGAATAACTATATTGTAAGTTTTCCATAATTACTTATTAATTATTTTATAAATGAGGTTTTATCTTAGCTGTAAATATTAGTATTGAACCCTATAAAAAGCCATAGAGGTTTTTTGTGACCTTTTAGTAAGGAAGAATTGACTATTTTTTGCTTAGTCATTAGGTACTTAAAAAAATCAAACAATTCCTTAAAAAGTTATGACGGTTTAAGTACCCATTTTTTGATATGTTGAATTTGTTGAAAAACTGGTCAAAATAATGTTTTTCTCAACTAAAATTGTCATAACTTTGTCGATTCTTATTAAAATGCAAATACTTTAGTATCAATAGATAGGTGTAAGCTACAAATTTATGTTGAACTTTAAATGCTGGGCATATTAAAGGGACAGAGGGGGCACCAAAATACCACCTTGTCCATAAGAAATGGAACACATTTTTCAGAAAATAGTATTTTTTTAGAGAAAGTATAAATTTTAAAATACAAAAAATGTTTATAATTTTATATCAGACCGCTAATCTATATAAGAGGTGTGTTAGAGGAGGAGGTTTTGATTATATTATTTTGCAAGAGATATACCAAACTGTTGCATTAGGGGGCCCATACTTTGGCATCATTAAAATATATCGAATAACTCCTCCTATCTATATTGTAAAGTCTTGCACTTTTTTTCTCTAAATATTTCCTAAAATGTTTTCCACTGTAATAAGAGAGTCATTTTAAGAAACTCTTTAACAATTGAACATAAATTTGTTTCTGATTATAAAATGCTTGGCTTTAGCAATCAGTATGTTTGCAAAATAATCATGAAAAAAAAGTTGCTTGCTCTAATGTTATACAAAATATTTTTATCCAGGGTCCAGTAAGAATTTTTCCAAATACTGCAAGCACACTCATTTGTATGTCCATCACTTAAAACAATATTTTTTGTGAGTTCAATCATTAAACATATCAACATTATTGTGCTAAATATTGAATTAATGTGTTAAAAAAAGTTTCAAAATAGTTATTTTAGGATTATATGTATCAACTTTTGAGTCTTTATTAATAAAAATAGAAGCTATATTTTCATACATATTGTTTTATACTTTTTATTTTTATCTTTTTTTTTTTATCTGGCTTCATGTGTGTAAAACTTCTAAAAAAATTTAAGGGAAATATTTACTGAAAATGATTCCAACCTCTAATAATTTTTTAAATGACATTAATAATGAATTTAATAGAAATAACAGAAATTCAAATTTATTCTAGTTATTATTCTAGGATATCAAAGAGAAACTCAAATTCTAGATTTAAGTTTCTCTTTGATAATAAATCTATCTAAATAAATCTAAATCAAAGAGAAATCAATAAATATATTCTAAGAGCAAAAGTAGAAGTTTCTTTATAATTAAATCAATGAGGTTATTGACTGCAATTCTTATAAGAAGTATAAACCTTCTGCAATTATCCAAGAAAAATCAGTCTGTAGCAATATTTCATTTTTTTGGTCCAGCAAAATGAATTAAATTACTGGAATTCCACATCCAAAAGTATTGCATAAAAGAAACCAAAGCAATTTGTTTTGAACTTTTTGCTGATAAAGGATTTTAAAAGTAAGTAAGTACGAGAATGTGCCTTGCTTGCAATTAAAGAATAGTGATTAGAAAAGTTCTTATCCGATGATATGACTATACCGATATCTTGAATTGAGTTAATAGAATAATAATAGGTGTATCAATGTTTATTGATATTAAATATAAATTTAATGTTAAAGAACTGTTTCCATAAACATTTTTTGATTGCTATATTAAGTTGCCAAACTTTTGACACTTCGGAAAATTTTTTTAAGGTATTGATAAGGTATAAGTTGTTTCCATCATTGCTTGCTTGATTTAACTTGCTTTCATCAGCAAACAACTAAATGCTGCAATCTCCATCAATAAATTTAGTTACTTCATTTATAAAAACTAAAAAATAAGGTTATTAATTAGTAAGTAATTTAATATGCATTCCACAATGACTCACTCAATAAGTTTACAAACAATGCATAGAAATATCATAGAAATAGGTCTATAGTTTGTGGTTAAAGATGGGTTTCTTTTCTTAAAGATGGGGCACACTATAGTGGTATTTCTAAATAAAGGTATGACATTTTTTAACTTTGTCAGTTTGAAAAGTATAGAGAGAGGACTAGCAATGGCATTTGCTATTGATTTTAAAAGTATTGCTAGGTATCCATCAGGCAATTTGGAGGATTTTGATGGAAGATTTTGTACGGACAAAACTACAGAGCTGTATGGAAACATTACATTATTTAAAGAGCTTGAGTGTGTTGGCAAATCTAAGACAGGTGCAATACCATTATCTGTAACAAAAACAGATGTTAAAAATTATTTATAAAGATTTGATTTTTCACAATCATCTGTGCTAAGAGAACCATCCGATTATAATAGTGGTGCAACAGAACTATACCATTTAGTTTTTGTCTTAAAAGAAAAATGGGCAACATTAGCTTTATCGACTGAAAATACATTATTTAGTTATTTCTGCATTGTATAAACAAGAACAAATCTTGAATTTGATATAAATGGATGTATTACTAGTTCATTGGTATTCCATCACACTAAAGCCATCATTTCAACTCATCGACATTACATTGAGAATCATCTTTTTCTAGAAATGCTTCAGGAACATCTTTTTCTAACAGAACCATCTCTCAAATTTTCATTGCTTATACAAACTTTTGCAACAGTCATAAGTCTTATAACAACAAATACACTTCTAAGGATGATGGTAATTATTCTTAGAAACAAAAGATTTGTTTGCCCAAAAATCAATCAAATAGAATTATGAGTAGAAAAATTTGGTGATGTCCAAATGGTAGGCTATTCAAATTCATTTTAAGTTTGTGACAAAAGTTTTATATATTTATATCAAATGTTTACATTTTAATTAAAAATTAATTAAATACTTAAAAAACAACACAAAAAAAAACTAAATTGTGACAAACGCCCCATACTTTCAAAAATTGATCTGTCCCTATTCTTAAAACTTTCTATTGGTACTCACAAGACACTCTGTTAAATATTTTTAAAATTGAATGAGATTTAGGGGGGCCACCTCAAATCTTAAACTTGCGATGAGACCCTAAACAGAAGAAAAAAAAGTTTTTCAAATGTATGTCATGTTGGGTTTCAAAAGAAGCGAAATTTTATTAAAAAAAATGTCAAAACAATAACAATTTTACATAATATTTATTATTATAAGTTTTATTGCATAAAAATTATTTTTTAGCAAAAAATTAAAAAAAGCCATTTTTTCATGGTTTTTAGTCGAATTTTTTTTCAAGATATTTTTAACAAAAAATCATAACTATTTTTGAAATTTTTATAAAGTTTCACTTCTTTTGAGACCCAACATGACATACGTTTAAAAAAGTTTTTTTTCTTCTGTTTAGGGTCTCGTCGCAAGTTTCAGATTTGAGATGGCCCCCCTAAATCTCATTCAATTTTGAAAATATTTAACAGAGTGTCTTGTGAGTACCAATAGTAAGTTTTAAGAATAGGGACAGATCAATTTTTGAAAGTATGGGGCGTTTGATGCACCTTAATGTATAAAATAATTTTAAGAAATGATTAATAAAGAAATATATTTTTAAAATAACAAATTTAGATTTCTAGTTGTTGTTTAAATAATTTTAATGAGGTTAAAAATTAAATTTATTTACAATGGGGAACTTTTAAGTATGCTAACCACGCAATTTAACTTGACGGTATAAAACTCATTTCTTAAGTTTACTTAAATATAATTCCATACTTATTTATAAAATATAAATTAGTAAGATTAAAACAGTTTACCATTATAGTTATAAAACGTAATGCATGGCTAACAAAATTGAAAATTTTTTTATGTGTTTATTTGCTTTTTTTTTAATAATGTTGGACTTAATGTTGGATTTTATAATTTATGGAATTCTTAGTTTGGGCACTTAAACTATATATAAACAGTATAGAATTATGTCTGGATATGGCACTGAAACTATTTTCTTATTTTTATTTTCAATAATTTTAAAAGTAGATATTCTTAAAGATATTTTTTCCTGTGAAAATCAATTAAAATTTTTGAATTTGGATAATTTAGCAAAATATTTTATTAACTAGAATTCAAACAGATCACAATGAAGATAGGACATTTAATGTGTTATCTGAATGGTCAAGAAATGTGAAAAGTTTATATCATGATATATATATTTTACATGAAGCTTTTCCAATTACATACAATGACTCTTTAACAGCCAATCAATGGACTACTTCAAGATTCTTAAATCTTTTAAAGTTACGTCAAAATGCCTTAGATAAAGCAAGGAGAGTGTGGTCAGATTATATTTTGGTGAGCATTTTGCCTTGTTTTGTTTTTTTTTTAAATTTGCGTTTAGTTATTTTGTAAAAATGCTACATGTGTTATATATTTACATCAAACTTTTTTTATTATATACAAATATATATTATATACTACTTATTATATAATATTATATACTAGTATTATAATACTATGAATTTTTAGTTTGTAGATACAGATAATTTTCTTATGAATAAAGAGACGCTGAATATACTTATTGCAACTCAACAGTAAGATTTTTTTAGTTCATTGTTTAGCTCATTGATTACGAAGTTTTTTAATTTGCAGTAACGTATTTTTACAATGTTTTTTTTTCTAAATACAATTTGATATATGATTATTTTTCATTATAATGTATTTATAATGATTATTATAAGAATATATATAATTAATATCATTATAATGTATTTATATGATTGTGGCCATACTTCTATAACCTGAGAAATGTTGAGTAATTGATAAAAAAACTGGTTTATTGATTGTCAAGTTGCAAAAATATTTACACCCCCTCCTTCCAGATCATAATATGATTTTTCATATATTGTAAAGACTTGTAAAGCTAATTTTCCAAACATTTATAAACAGCCATAAAAAAATAAAACAAACTGTAAATTTTATTTAGTATTTAAAAACTCCATGTCTCTTAAATGGATCAATAAAAATAATTATTTTCTGCAAGTTAGTTAAATGCTTCACAGCTCATTCTTTCCAATAAAATTCACATTTGCTTATTCCCATTTTTTTGAATTTTAAAGGAGATCTTCCATAAATTTAACACCACGTTCAGCAATGATGTTTGTCCTTGGAATATGAAGTGCACTATCTACTTTGCTCTAGTGTTTTATAAAGCACTTTAAAGCAGCTGTTTATTTAAGTTCAGTCAATGCATTTAGCATATCATGCGATTTATCATCAAATAGTTGTTTGCTGAACCAAAGTTCCACAGGTTTCCAATAAAAGTTACTGCACTTTCAAGTTCACAGCTTCATGTTGGTATAAGAAAAAAGATAATAAAAACATGTCATGCTCTAGAGTTCCATCTTGCACTGTGCAATGGATGAAGCTTATGACACTTAATTTTTGGTAATCTTTTTTGATTTTTGAGGTAACAAAAAGCTTCACAAATCTCATAAAAGAATTTGAAGTCATCTCACCATACTAGGTTTATGTAATAATTAGGCTCAGCTTCATATGCAGGGGTGTGGAGTCGTAAAGAAAAAGTAACAACTCCAACTACGACTCAAGTTGTTGAAATTTTTTGAGTACAACTTTAACTCCAACTTCGACTCCAACTACAACTCCAAAGCAAAATTTTCGAAAAATTCTTTAAGTTCTTTAAAAAATATTACGCAATAAAATAAAAAAAATTTGCGCAATAAAATAAAAAATTTTGAGAAATTTATAAAACGTTCTTTGAGGTTTAGTATGAAAATAAGGTTAATTGAATGTTTTTTACATGCACGTGCAATACCGAGAAGTTTTACTATTGCAGTCGGAGTCATGATTTTGTTTAGCGACTCCACTAAAAATATTGCGACTCCGACACCGACTCTGACTCCATAGCCCTGTTCATATGTATAATTTTTTTAAGATTTTCATAATTGTCACATGTAATCATTGTAATACATTTCCATGTATTAAAATAATTAAGCAATTTTTTTAAAGCTTCAAAAATATCATGGGATTTTATTATTCCCATTTTGAAGTATCACAACTTGGTATTCAGTCTTGTTTATTTTGTTTCCATCAAAATGTAGACAGAAATGTTCTTCTTGTACTATTTTATATATTACTTACTAATATATTAGTAATAATTTTTTCTTTCTTTCCCCTTGCCTTATAGTTGATCTCCATATGTCTGACTAGTTTCTATTTCAATACCTTTTTTATATAACTTTTAAAAGATTTTAGCTGATTTATTTGTACTTAAACATACAGTTATCACATGATTAGATGCTTACTTGGTTCTATTATATACTCTCTTTCTTGATTTTTTTAATTCCACTGGTTCATAATTGTCTTGTGAATCTAAATCTGAACCACGTTCTTCTGATGCAGTTGAACTGCTAACTGGACCATTATTTGCTTTGCTTGTAGAAGTTGTATTTTTTGCATTAAAAACTCTGACTTTTGAAGGATGTAATGATACTTGTGTGTTAGTACTGTGACCAACTTCTCCTGAACTTAATAGTTGTATGTTATAAAATTTTTTATCTTTTAGACTAAATCATATGCCCTTAATATTGGTGAAATAAAAAGATCTCCAAACACAGAGCATTCTTTCTTTATGCCAGGCTTTTTGAAAAAAACATGACAAGTATCTTATACTTGTCATGTTTTTTTCAATTTTTCTTCCAACTGAATTTTTTCAATTGATGCCAGGTAGTTGTAACATCCAATAATAAAAGTTTTTTTTAGCATTCTATTAAATAAGTTTAATAGTTTTTTAATAAACGGTAGACCAAATCTTAATGTTATACGTTTTTTAAATGAAACTAAATTTTTTGCCCATACTTTTGAATAATTGTCAACAACAGTTTTGCTATATTTTTTTGACCTAAATCTAAAATGCATTTTGCTATATTTTTTTGACCTAAATCTAAAATGCATGGATAATGTATGTTAATAATATGTTATAAATATACAATTAATTAAAAAGTCATCGAAATGCAAAGAATACATAATAATGATTAAGACATAAAACGCATAAGTACTAACTTTCTGTATTTGTTTAATATTTCAGTTTAGAGCATTACACAAGAAAATAATTTTACTGTGTTTTATGCTTTATATCTTATTTAAAATCAAATACTTCAACAATAGTCATAAAAATAATACAATAATTTTAATAGCATAACTTGTGTGACATTTTTTAACTATATTTGATATTACTATGAAATTTTAATATTAGCTATCAATTTTTCAGGTTTTTAAACTATGGCTAATTAAAACAGTGACAAAAGTTAAAAAAAAATCATAACCCTAGTGTACAGTCATGTTTATTACTTTTGCTGTTTTAAATTTTGTTTCTTTTTAGTAATTTTTATAAACTGATAAGTTTGTCTGCTAATTACATCATCAATTGTAACATTAAAGTAAATTACATTTCAATTGTAACATTAAAGTAAATTACATTATTAAATGAAACATTAAAGTAAACTCTAAACTGTCTGTTCTAAATCAATTAACAACAGCCTAGATCACACCCAATTCATTAGAGCTAAACAAGGTGAATAGAAACATAATTGAAATTTAAAAAGCAATACTTTAGACATAGTTATCTAGTTTTAATAACCTGCATTTTAATAACCTGCATTTAATAACCTGCATTTATATATTGATATTGAAAATGTTAGTTTAAAGGTTAAAAGTTAAAAGTTAGTTTAAAGTGTATAAAAAATCTCAGATCATTTAGTTTTTTTTTGCAGAAGTAGACCATGTCTTATCTTTTTTATGGAAAATGTTTTCCAAAAATTGTCAATAACTTTTTAATTAAACCTTAGAAAATATTATTTGGTTTAGATGTAATATAGACATTTATAATATTATAAACTGTTATCTACTTAGACCCTGTCACTTATCCTGAAGTACCCTGATATTGGAATCAGAAAACAAATTTGTTGACCAAAGAGTCATTTGTATTAAAAAAAAAATGCATCAAATAAGTCCTGTCAAAAAGCAAAGAAACACTGAAAAATGTCACTAAATCTGATAAAGAACTATCGAAAACAGTTCTCTGACAAAGATTCTTTACTGTTTGACAAAATGCTTTTTATGAAATTGTATATACATGTATAAGTTTTTCGTTCTTTTTTTTTTTGATTTTTGGCTTTTACTTTTGAAAAAACTTTGTTTTGAACAAGAACAGTGTAAGATCAGCAATAAAATGTTATATTGACTGAGGGTGATAATAATATGCGCTGCTCTAAAGAGCATCTAAAATTTAAATTTAAAGAGCATCTAAAGAGCATCCATTTTTTGTTACTCCTTTTGTTCTTTTTGTTCTTTTTGTTCCATTCAATTTTATTCTTTTGTTACTCCTGATTCAATCGAGTCTCATCTTTTTACTGTTCCTAAGTGCTTCGAAAATTTTTATTTTTTTACTGTGACTGTTCTTAAGTGCTTCGAAAATTCTTATTTTTTTACTGTGACTGTTCTTAAGTGCTTTGAAAATTCTTATTCGTCTAGTTTTATTTCCTTGAACATCAGATAATAAGAAAAATAATAAGAAAAAGTTTTAATTGATTTAAAAGATTAATTTTAAATGCAAAGTCATCAGAGACTTTTTTTAAGGTTTAAAAAAGTCTCCGATGACTTTGCTTTTAAAAATGAATTATCAGTTCTATATAATAAGTGTGTTATTATAAAGATACTGATATATAGAAAAAAATGGAGAGCATGTTTTTCATCAGTATCATGTTTTTCATCAGTATCATGTTTTTCATAACCTCATTTTATGTATAAAAAAAGTTGTCATAACCTTAAAGTTATCAAAAAATCTCATAAAATCTCTTATTACAATAGGCACCATGAGAAGGTAATCCATTTTCAGATAAAGTAATAATTATAAATGCGCAAAGACAAGTTTCAATAACAAATAGAGTTAGGCGTTCAAAAAAAAAGAAAAAAAAAAGCAGAAAGTAAAATTTATGTCTAATTATGCTACTTTGATACCTGCAAATCAAGTAAAAGTTTTACAAGCTATTTTGTTGATGTTGATTCGCTGGAAGCAACTTATGCTGTTTTTATTTTTAGAGTTCTCAACAAATACTTTTATTTAGAACTTTAAACTTTTAAGTTTAACACAGTTTAAGAAAAAAATTTTAATTGCATACAAATTTATTGTAAGTTTTTCTTAAATAATATTTCATAGATATTCCTATATATTATGTGTCATGTCTATATATGCTGTGTCTATATATGTGATATTCCTATATATTATGTGTCATGTCTATATATGCTGTGTCTATATATGTGATATTCCTATATATTATGTGTCATGTCTATATATGCTGTGTCAGAAGCACTTTCTTTTATGAAAGTTTTTTCTTTCGTGAAAGTTTTTGGATTCTTACTTTGATTCTGCTACTCAATGTAGTTAAGGAGAGATTCTTTTTTTTTTTTTTTTTTAAATTATCTTTGCTTCCAACAAGACTGCAAGCAACCACTAATTAGTGTTGGAAGTTAGTGGAAGAGAAAAGATGAAGATTGTAGAGCAAGATAACGATTGACAGACGACTTAAATGATTGCAAATTATATGAATCAGGAAAGCAAGATGAAGGAAGCGAATTCCAAAGAACTGATGTTGAGGAAAAAAAACTAGACAAATAAGAGTTTTTGGAGCACTTAGGAACAGTAACAGAAAAAGGATGAGACTTAATTGAATGACGAGTAACACGAGAATGAATTTTAGTAGATGGCACAAGAGACGCTAGCTCTTTAGAGCAGTGCCCATTATAGTATTTGTAGAAAAGAGAAAGAAAAACAACATTATGACAATGTGACAGAGGTTGAAGGATGGCTGCAAGAGCAGGTCCAACTATGTTTACAATGCGCTTTTGCACCTTGTCTAAAAGAGAAAGGGCATCATTAGAAGATCCGCCCCAGATATGGCAACAGTATTCCATACAAGGCCGGATTTGAGATTTATAGAGATAGAGAATAGAATCCAGAGTAAGAAAGTGACAAGCTTCGAAGAAATATATAGCGTTTAGGACCCTATGTTTTCAAAAAATGCTATTTTATTTTATGTGCGTTTTGATTGGTTTATTTTTTTAAAAAAATCACAAAGCTTGTTGTTTTATTTTGTTTACAAATATTCGGTAATTTAAAATCTACGAGTTTAAGATTTTAACTAATTACTTTGGGACAGCAGTTATATAAAAGCTAAAACCTTTTCTTTTGGTAATTTTTTCAAATAACTATAAAGCGATTATTAAAGAAAATTATTATGAGAGAAAACTAATGTGAAAACTTTGATTTTAACCTTTTTACTGTTTACGGAAAGATAAAATATAAAGTTTTTAGCCATTTATCAAATATTTTGATGCTGTAAACATGGTAGCTTTTTACTTTCAAATAAAAGAGATGTTTTTGGAATGTAAACACTTAACACATTTGTTTCGCCTGTTCATGATGCTGCCCCGTCGCGTTTTATGTATTTTATTGGTAGTTTTATTTTCTTTTATACTTAGATTGAAAAAAGATTTATAAAAAATAATAAATTATATATAAAAAGCTTAAATTATATAAAAAAAGATTAAATTCTACTTTTTAAAAATATATAATAGTAATAGTTAAAATAGGCGAAACACAAAAAGTTGAAATTTAAAAACGCAAGTTATAGTTTTTAAGAAATGCAAATTTTTCGGACCTCTTCTTAACTACGCTGAGTAATACAAGGTTCTTTCAAAAAAAAATTTTGTTTTAGATTTATATGAGAATGTTGTGTTAAAAAAAAAAACCTTATGCAAAAGGAAAAATAAATAAAAATAAAATAAAAGTAATATAAAACTAATAAATAAAGATAAATAATGATAATAAAAAAGATAAAAAAATTTTAAAATCAAAATTAAAAATAAGAAAAATTTAAGATTATATAAATTAAACAGCAAAGGTTAGAGAAAACCAGGTCTAACCTTAGCCTCAACCTGGTTCAGAAAAAGATGTTGGAACAAAAATTTTTTAAAAGAATGTTTTATAAGGACAAAAGCATAGTTTAATTTGAGTGTATTTTTTATTATTTGATTTTAAAGTAAAGTACATGTTTTGAGGCATTTTTTACATTCTATATTAGACATTAATTTGAAATTTTCATTTAAATTTCTATAATTCCATTTTTAAGCTATAAGGGTAATTAAAACCAGCACTTGTTACTATGCAATATTACAAAATAATTTGAGAAAGTTATTTAATGTTATAATATTGTTTCTATCATCTGAATTAAAGCACTTCATGTTGATTTTTAATTCTCTATTTTTATAAAATTCTCAATAGAGAAAAAAAAAATTAATCTGAAATAATTTTCTACTAATTGAAATCATTGTCTGTAGAATACAAAATAACTATAATTTTATTATAATTTTATATATTTAATTATAAATCTTATAATATAAATTGTAAAAGTCACATTTATAAAAATCATATTTAATAATTTTGACTTTGAATATATGTGTGCGTGTGTGTGTGTGTGCGTGTGTGTACTATTTTTTCAATTGCTCTTTTTTGTTAATGTAATATTATGGAAGATTTTTTTTTTTAAATTATTATATTAAGTTTTTAAAGTCAGCTGTTGTCAGGGTTGGCAAAAACCCGGGTTTTTTTAAAAAAACCCGGCCCAGTGGGTTTTTTTGGGTTTTATTGGGTTTTATTGGGTAAATTTGGGTTTTTTTGGGTTTAATTTTTATTTTGTCCCTGTAAAAATTTTTTTTGTGTTTTTGTTAAATAATATTGAAAATTAGTTTCATTTTCTACTTTAACTTTATTTAAAATATATTTAATATATTGTTGTTTAATTATTTATAACAAGAATTTTTCAAATTATTTTGAAAAAGATTTTTAAATATAATTTAAAACTGTAATAGAAAAAAAAAATTTCACGCTTAATCTATATGTATTGATTTATTTTAAATTTAAAAGTATTATTCTATATAATTAAAAATGTCAATGAGAAAATGGGAAAAAGAAGGCTAGAGAATGGGAGGTAGTAACTGAAGTTTCAATTAAACTTTGAACTTGAAATTCAAATGCACAAACTTGTTCCTCTGCACAGTGGCCTTGTTTATAAAGATTCGTGTTTAGGAATTAAAGAGTTTTTTTTTTTAATCAATTCACTTTCTCAAGGCTTCTACACTTTCTCAACTTTATAACTCCGAAACACGAATCTTGACGAACAAGGCCGCTGCGCGGAGAAAGGAGTTAAGCGCGGTACTGCAAGAGACGTGGTGGGGATCGAACTCGGAACCTCTCACTTATGAAGCGAGCGCTCTACCACAACACCACTACCGCATAAGAGTTGAGAGAGGGTTGTAACCACAACAAGGTAGCCTCCTCGACTGTTGTGTTGGCTTCTCTGGTCACTACTACTCATTTAAATTCAACTTGGGAGGTGAATAACATAAAGTAATAAAAATCTCAATCAATAAAAATATTTGAATAAAAATTGTAATAATGTATTTCCAAATAATGATTCAAATAATAGTAAACCTGCTCTGATAGCTGTTATTGTTGGTTATAATAGTTAATAATAATAGTTATTAATAATTTAGTTAATAATAATAGTCAATAATTATTTTAGTTAATAATATTATAGTTATAATGTTAAAGTTGGTTATAACAGTTCATGAACTTATTAAATATCTTTAAAAAAACCCAATAAAACCCAGATTTTCCAGGGTTTTATTGGGTTTTTTTAGGCGGGTTTTTTTGAGCAGGTTTTTTAATGCCAACCCTGGCTGTTGTATTGCACACATACTCTTTTGTTTAAAATGAATATTGTCTAATATTATTGAAGAAATATATAATAAAATGATGATTTTGTAAATTTATTGTTATAGAATAATTATGTAATAATGCAAAACTTGATGGTGTGCCTAAATTTGTTAAATTATTTTATGATGCAAATGTCTTTATGTTACTAATCACATAATCTTCAAAAAAAAATCAAGGGCTTTCTTTTTTAAGCCCTTGATAAGTTTTTAAGCAAGCCCTTGATAAGACTTATATTTTAAGACAACTTTTTATTTAAAATTAAAAAAATATATGTTTTTTATAAATTTTTTATTATCTTATTGATTTTATTGTAATTTTTTTTTTTTTTTTTTATAGAGTAATTGTAAGTCCAATGCTTCGGAGCTTTGATGCTGACGGACTGTATTCAAACTTTTGGGGAGCGATGGATGAAAGGGTTAAGTTTTATCTAACTTCTTTTTAAAAAATATTATTATTTTAGTTTTAAACAAAATAAACAAAATATATTTTGTTTTAAAACTTTATTATTTGTAACAAATTTAAAAAAATAATATATAATAAAAAAATGTAAATAAGTATAAAACAAATAAAAAAATTACAAATGTGTGGTTTGCATCATCCTCATAAATGATGATAAAAGTTTTTTCTTTATCATGATATTGTTTGACAAATTTTCTTAATTGTAAATCACATAAAAGAAGCTTTTATGAATTTTATTATTTTTGTTTTGTAATTCTTTTTTATTTTGTACTTTATGTTTATTTAAGTTGAGTATTTATTTGAAAATTGTTAAGTTCTTTGTAAAACACTTCTTTCATACATTAAATCTTTTTTATCTTTATTTTAAACGTCAATCATCACATTGAATTTGGAAATAAACTATATTATAAATTTTGATAAAGGCTTTTTTTTTGTTTAAATGTTTAAAATTATTTTAATGTTCTCCTATTTTTAAATAATTTTTTATATTAACAGGGTTATTACAAGCGTGTCCCAGAATACTTTACTTTGCTTAAAAGAGAAACCTTGGGAGTATACTATGTTCCCATGGTGCATTCTACTATGTTGATTGATATGCGTAGTAATTTGACTGATACATTAATGTTTTACCCAATACCTTTATCATATAGTGGTGTTATTGATGATATTCTGGTGTTTGCCCAGTCAGCAAAGCATTCTGGTATTTTTAAAAATGTTTTTTTAATTTTTTTGTTAAAATTTTTTAATATTTTTATTCAGAGATAAAAAAAGTTTTTTGAGAATTTTAACAATTTATTTTTAATCTTTTTTTTTATTTTATTTTATTTACTTTTTATAAGTTGTAAAATATGATATGACCAAATTGGTCATATTATATATTATATTTTTTACAAAAATAAAATTATACTAACGGAATGACTGACCACTTTGCATGGGAATATATAGTATCTTGATATAAAAGTTATTATGCAATGCAATGCAAAAAAAAATTGCATAATACACTATGTATGAACACAACCTTTCCTTTTCTTATTGTTTATCTGAAATCTGAAGGTCACCACAGAAATCATCTAAAATCTGAAGATATTCACAGAAATCATCTGAAGGTTGCCACAGAGCATGCAATTATATTAACTCATTAAAATTAAAGTTTATTTTTTACATTAATTTAAGTGGGTAAGTAAATCTCAAATGTTGGTTTTTTTTTTTTACAGGAATTAACCTTGCTATATGTAACACTGAAGTATTTGGTTTTCTTTTAAATCCATGTGCAGAGGACTGGACTCTAGAAGATAAAAAAGATTTCTTTAATGATGTTTTTCTTAATTACGCAAGTAATTACTTAGCTTTATAAATTTTATTTTTAACTTAAATTTAATTCATTTTTAATTTATACCTATAATAAACATTTTAATCATATTTTGTTTTTTTATGCCGCTATTTACATATTTACTAAAAAAAATTGCTTTTTAGTGGAGGTAAAAAAAAAAAGTGATGTAAAATTTTTGAATTTAGAATAATGACATATCGAACATATGCATTCATATGCTGGATATGTCATTATTCTAAATTCAAAGACTTTTGTGTGTTTTTCAAGCTTAATTTTATAAAACCTTGAAATTTTTTTCAGGAAATAAGAAATCTTTGTTTCTAGTTACATATTTAAGTTACATATTTATGCTTTGATAATCCTAATATATAGAACATTGATTGATATCCATTTTACTTATTCTAGCGTTAATTTTACTCACATCCTTTGGTGAGGTACTTGCTGGACAAGAGCTTTTGACTCAAGCTTTGTTGTAATGGCTGAAGTGTTTGTCAGAGTTATTTAAATAGTACAAGCCAGTTAGGAGCACAAAAGTTTCTTGTAGATCCACAAGTTACTATAGGAGTTAACTCGCTTCTTGTGGGAAGTTTTTTTCTAATAAACAAAAGGACTGTTCAGTCTTTTTGTTTGTTTATAGCATAAAATAGGTTTCTTTATATTCCTCTATATTCTCTGAATAGCTTTGAGGCTACAATTGAAGTTTTTTGCAACTTCACTTTGTGTTTAAACATTTTTAAAGTTCATGTTCTTTTCTTTGGATTGTTAATTTTATTTGATCGCTTTCTCTTTTTGTTCCAAGTGGTTTTCTCATTCTTGGGATCAGGTATGTCAATATAAAATTATAAAAGAATTTAGTGAAAATAGTTTTATTTTTAAAAAGCTACAAGCAAATATTTTTTATAATGGTGAACTTGACTGTCTCAACCTAGTTTTAAATTATTGGAATGGTTTAATAATTTAAAACTAAGTTTTTAATTTAAATTATTAATTTATGACATAGATTATCAGATTGCTAGGATGGTGTCAGATTCATTGGATGGTCAGATGATTATGAGTCAGAGTTAATCTATATTTGGCTTTTATCTAGATAAAAAATATTTTTTTTAAATTGTAAAAAATATTTTTTTTAAGTTGTAGGTTAAGCTTAAATTACAGACAATTTTGAGTGTTATGTAATTGAAGTTATCATTTTTTGGGGTAAATTTCCTGAATGCTTTCAGGTCTAGAGCAATTGTTGACAGACACAGAGAACTAAATGTTGCCTTTTAGTTCTGTGTAAATTTGATTATTTGTGATTTCTACATGTGGTTTTTACTTTTATGCATGTAGTTTCCAATTTTAGTTGTTAAATTGCTTTATCTGATATATTGAATGATAAAAATAAAAAGTGTTTATTGATTTGAATATTGCTTCTATTTTTTAAATATTGATGGAATTATTTTTCATTATTTCTCTGATAATTACAGCTTATATTTTAATATTAGCATATAATGAACCACTTGAAAGAAGTGTTAATGTACCACATTCATTTCCTGTGCCATCCTATGGAATCTTTGATGAGGTATTTAAATAAATATTAAGTTTTTTGTAAATGTTAGTGGTTATATTGTCAGTATCTGTAGTATTTTTTCATTATAGATATTTATTTTAGATGTTGTTTATTATAGATATTTAGATATTTACTATTTGTTATAGATATTTGTAATAAACTTAATACGCAGACAAGATCGCTTTAAAAAGATGTCTTTTTTACTTAAAGAATTAGGTTTTAAATTCAGACACTTCGAGGCTGTAGATGGAAGGTACCATAGAGTCTTTATGCTTACCTTTTCTCAAATATATAAACTAAAAATGATTTTTTATTAATTTTTTTAAACTCTTTTTTAGGGAACTTTCTGCGAAAAAAGTTAAAGAAATGGGAATATTTCCTTTGGAAGGATTTAAAGATCCATACTTAGAAAGGTAAATTGACATTCCCTTATTAAAAGATACTTCTTCTAGCTATCTCTATTTTTATAAACTATTTACACATTTCAAGATTTTGAGAAAGAAAATTCATTTAGACCAATGACGCTTGGAGAGATTGGCTGTTTCTTAAGTCATTGGAGAATTTGGAATGAAGTGAGTTTTTTAATTTGTCTTATTTTATTTTTTGTGGTCATCTCTGTTTATTTTCTTAGTATTCTTTGTTTCTTTTGTTTTAGATAGTTGATCGCAGTCTTGATATGGTCCTTGTTCTTGAAGATGATGTTCGATTTGAATCAGGTTTTAATAAGAAACTACACCAGTTATTGGTTTCTGCTGATGAAATACAAAAAAATCAACCCTGGGATTTTATGTTAGTTTTGTCCTTATTTTTTTTTCTAGTTCCAAACTTTCAAAACTTAATTTTTTCAGTTTTTAAATCTTTAGGTACTTAGGTCGTAAGCGAATGTCATCACAAATGGAATATTATGTGGAAGGTTCTGACAAAATTGTATGGGCAAAATACTCCTATTGGACTCTAGGTTATATTATACGATTATCAGGTGCAAAGAAACTAATCGCTGGTGATCCTCTATCAAAGATGCTTCCTGTTGATGAATACATACCAATCATGTTTGATAATCATCCGGAGTGAGAATCTACTTTAGCTTTTAATAATATAAAGTTTTGAATATACATATTGTAATGTATATATATGTACATACACATTTATGAATATCTTTCTTATGGGGTAGATTTTAAACATTTTACTAGCCTGTACATAATTTTTTTTACTTATAGGACAGAATTTAAGTTAAAGTTTAATAACCGTAATCTTATTGCTTTTTCGGCTGAACCTCTTCTTATGCACCCTACGCATTATGTTGGTGAGATGGGTTATGTGAGTGATACTGAAGACACGCTTTCAATTAAGGAAGAAGATGTAAAGCACTTTAGGGAGAAAAAAAAATTTATATTGCAATCAAATATACAACAGGACCAAACAAGAGGCGAACTTTAAATTTTTTACAAAAAATTGTTTTGAGTATATTTTTACATTTTATCTTTTGAGCGTTTTCAAGTTATTTTTTAAAAAGATTTTTTGCTGTAATTTTTTAGTCACAATTTGAACATATTTTTTATTCTTTTGAAAAATAAATAACTATAATATATTGAACGTAAATTTTTATATACATATACATTTCTTTATAAACAGTTATAAATATATTTCTTCGCATATGAAATTTTTATAAATGTGTTTATTTATTTATTTAGATTTTTTATAAAAATGTATTTTAAATGTTTTCAGATCTTTTTAAAATTTTTCTATATATCGATAAATTAGTATTTTTTAAAATATTATATTCTTAATATGTTGTTTTCATTTGTTAGCTCTTTAGTTGCATGTAAATTTGAATATTTTTACGCGTTATTTATAATTTAGTGTTTAAATGATTTTATATTGAATAAAAAGGCTGATCTAAAATCCGCATCTGATCATAACCATCGTCACCATCATAATCGTCATCAAGCTTTAGCTTTTCCCTCGTATGCTGTTTCTCTATTATAAACATCTCGAGCATCTTCTTTCCTTAACTAAAGCTCATTCATATAATATGTAACGCACTCTCTCCAATTTTTCTAACTTTTACATCTACCATTTTCTCCTGCTGCTGCCTCTCTACATGTTGATATCCAGACAACTTTAATCTTCTCTGACAAACGTTGTTCGTTGCATCGTTTTTTCTAATCTCTGTCTAAGGTTATGGCTTGTTGTTAGAGTCATACCTCACATTCATCTAATCATCTTCTCTTTTGGCAAATACTGCACCCTATAAATACTAAAGTTTTTATAAATTTGTCAGGATTGTATGGCATAGTTCGTCACATTAGAATTATAGGGTTCTATCTGCCTTTTTTTATGTTGTGAGAACTTAACTTTCAATATTTATTTAATACATGTTTTACAGCTGTTATTCATTATAATTATAAATTATAAGTTGTTTATGTTACCTGTTAAAAATGTTAAAAAATGATATATAATATATCATTTTTTAAGTGGTTTGTTTTTATTATTAATTATTAATTAAAACTTTGTTAAATTCCTCCAACATAAAACAAGGCAGATAGAACCCTATAATTTTCATGCGACAAGTTCATAAAATTGTAAGGATTTTATGGCATATTATATTGTATGGCAGGATATAAATAGCAAACAGATTTGTATCCATATTATATTTGCATAAACGCGTCTCTTACAAAACCTTCTGGTTCCGAGCAGGTATGAAAGCTTTTATTCCTTTTCTTCGTTTTTAAGTCAATCCTCATTCTACTCCACGCTTTTCATTTTCTTGTACAATTGCTACATTAGACCGCAATCAATTTTTTCATCTTTTTTACAAAAACATCTCTCTTAAAAACTAATGTCTTATTACTGCAAGTAATTAATGTAAAAAAGTCCTGTCTGATGCTAAGCTCCATATTTCTCAGTTTGCTAAATCTTGTATCTTGTTTCGGATGTTAGTTTCTAGAGACTTTTGGAATTAATTAGTAAGTCTAAGGTTTTATCTCAGATTCATGGGTCATAATCTTACAAAAGTTTTCTCCTGAACTCTCTTCAGTTCCCGCTAAACTATTAAATAATTGGTTCCAATTTTTTAAAACTCCAAAAAAAAAAACACTGGTTTTTCCAACTATTCTTTGGTTAGTCTTTTTTCTATTTTAGTTTCTTTCTATAAAGTTATTAAGATTATTAAATGATTTATTTCTAACCGCATCATCTAAATCAGTCATTCTCGAAGGCCTAGACTCTTCTTCTGACAATCTTACATCTAAAGCGGCTCTTTTTGCTAACGACTCAACTTTATACTTATGTCTTGACAAATAGTCAAGATAGCATGCTATAAGTAATCACTTATAGCGAGCAGCCAATCTTTAATCTGATCTCTCTTCTGTAACAACTCGAGGCTTGCAGTGGCTTACGGATTTTAACTCCAACAAAACATTGTCGTAAGGTTGCATGTCTTTCTTTTTTCTAAAAATTGTTTCCTTGCTTTTTAACCCTATCCTTGGTTTTCTAGTAACCCATAACTTAATAGTGGTAGCTTGCAATCTATTTGGAAGCAAACTAGTTTATAAAAACTAAAGAAACTTTTGTAAGAGAAGCATAAATTAAACATAAATTAAACCACGAAGCATAACTAAACCAAAAAGAAATGCTTTGAATATTTTAATCCTAATTTCACAACTTCAACAAGTTTTAGAAAACTATAAACTTTTCAGTATTCAAAATGTTTTAATTGATGTTGGTGCTATACCAATTCTTTTCTTAAATACTTTTTGATAATTACTCACTACTGAGTAATTATCAAATTTGATTTTTTTTTTAATTTTAAATAAGACACATGAAAAATTTTTGTGTTTTAAAACTGATTTCAGTCATTACAATATGTGAAGTTAGAAAAGTAAAAATGGTGCATTAGAAAAACTCTGTGTTTTTTTAAATTAATCACCTCATCTTCAAAAATGCATATATAACAATTAACTACTTTCTTCATAATTTATATGAAGACATATATTTAATCGAATGTGATTTCAATTGATTTTTTCAAAAAAGTTATAGTTTCAATAATTTCAATTATTGAAACTATAACTACCAAACTTTACAGTTTGGTAAAGACCATTTAAAAACTACAACCTGAAAAAAGTGTCGTGTCCACTAATCTAAATACTCTAGACAGACACTGTAAAAAATGTCTACTTTTCAGAAATTGGTTTTTTAAATAACAATTACTTTCTTCGATAACTTGCAAATGCTGTCTTACCATGAAAGGTATAAATTTTTTTTTCTTTTTAGATTGTATCTAGCCTTTCAAATCTTTAAATACTACGGCAAGTTTAGCAGCAGAAATATAAAAAAAAATTGGCTTGTAAACAAAAAACTTGACTGTGAACAAAAAACAGTACTCTATTACCCATTTTATAATTAAAAAAGTCAAATGAATCTTTCGGACAATTTTCTAAGCTTAAAAAGTATGATCTTAATGGCTGGTATAACTTAAGCACTTTTTCGATTGGCTAGAAGTAAGGCCAACCAACAAACCTTTGAGAATCCGAGCAAATTTTGATATTCTACACCAGCCTCCTCGGAGAAATATTTTAAACTAGAAAACTCGAATAGTGAAACGGTAAAGTAAATTTGAGGAATAGTTATCTCCACATCAATTAATAAACCACCAGGGCAAGGGTGCATCCATAAGGGGCGATTGGGACAATTGCTCCTATTGCCCACCCTCCTTTTATGGATCGCTCCCCTTTCTCTTTAGATATTTTGAAAATAATTTTTTTGTAAACTTACATATTTAACTGAACGATTGTTCAAAAAACGGAAGTAAATTAAGGAATGTGATAAAAAATTTTTGATAAATGTTTATGTGGTGAAAAAAAATCTTACTGATGGGATATCGATATAAAACGTAATTTCATAGTTAGATAAATTAAGACAGTGAAAAACTAATATCCTAAAAATATTACTAAGACACCTGAAAATTAAACCCTGTTTGATTTTCAGGTGTCTTAGTAATGTTTTAGTCCCTGGATCCGCCTCTGCCAGATGCAGTGTTTATTGCGTTTGATAATATGCCAGTTTTCGCAACCAATGTCAATGGTTTCACGGTTTAGCCTGACGATTAACTTTTTGTGAATACTGTTATTGTTGTTTCGTTTTAAACCTCCGAAATTCGTATAGCTTTTGTGTGCAGAAATAGTTAAAAATTTTAATGAAATGTTGTTAGCGCTAATGCATTAAAGGATAACTTCCGATAAAATATTTGGAGTTTCTCCATTTACTCAGTCTATGTTTATCAGGTGAATTTTCACTTCTTCTTTAACATTAAAATAACAAGCCAAAATTGAAATGTTTAAATGTCTAGTGGTTTGAGGCATTTGAAGGAATTGACACATATGATGCTTTTAACAAAGGATTTTCTGAGTTGGTTTTACAAATCTTCTTGAACACATTCACAATTATTGCTTCACATTTTGAACGCGCACAAGCAAATCTTTGATTATAAAATTTCCTAATTAGTTTTACAATCAGCACCTCTATATCTATCGTTGTGCTTAATTGTGTTGAATGCAATTGTTTCTTCTTGAATGGCTAAACTTTTTTTTTTTAATCAAAACTCTGACTCTTTATCAACTCTGTGATTTTGTTTAACAATTTAACAAATAGCGCCACGTGGCCAAGATTTTGTTCGGTTCGGTTTTTTTCGATTTAGTTTTAAACATAAAACCAATAATTCGTTTTTTTTTTGGTTTGGTTTAAACTTTTTTTTTTGATCGGTTCGATTTTGGTTAAAAACAAAACAAAGTTTTAAAAGCGATTCATTTAAGAAATTTAGAACTACAGATTTTTAGAAATACCAAAAAAAATTAAAAGTTCATTTTTATTTTTTAAATCGTTTGTTTTTTTATATAAACATCTTTTTCAACAATTTCAAACGCTAACGTAGTTCTTCTGGTAGTGATATGTTACAAGCAGTAGAAAAACTAACTCTAAAGTTGCAGAAGTTGCTTATATACAAAGATATTTTTGTGCGTAGTTTGATAAAATTGAGTACTGCAACTTCATAACTTTCCACCACTCTAAAATATTTGTCGTTTATTCAGCTGTTTCAACCATAATGATAAATTTCTAAACCCAAGTGTGTGTGTGTGTGTGTGCATGCATGTGTGTGTGTGTATACAGGGCCACGTGCCCCATAACTTTTTTTAAGGACCTTTTTTTTTTTGTACAACTAAATAAATGGAAAAAAAAACTAATATTAAATATGTTTTTATTTGTAAGACTAAATAAATGGAAAAAAAACTAATATTAAATATGTTTTTATTTGTACTCAGTTATACTTACTAAAACGTAGCTACAAAGGATAATTTTGTAAACTAAATAAATGTGTAGCCTTCTTAAGCAAGTCATTCATAAGAGATTTCACAGCAGCATTGCTAAATAGATTAGTTGGTTTCTGCTTTGAACTAAATGTGATAAATAACTAATAAAGAAAAGATAGAAACTGTGTTGCATTATTTCTTTCAGGAAAATAAAACGAAATAAATCAAATAAAAAGCATGTTTTAAATACACCTTTATAAACAGAATGATAAATAAGTAGTTTTTATCTCCAGTATAAGATTTATTAAACTATAAAAATGTATCAACATTGGTAGAATTGTTATCAGTAACAATTGCTCTTGTTTTAAATTGGTGCATTGAGTTAATACACTCATGAATTTCTTTTTTCAAACATAAACCTGTTATGAAAATTCAGGTGAGGATTTCACAACATAAGAATACATTTTTTAAGCCAAATAATTATATTAAATAAATATTCTAATAATAATATAATAATAAATAAAACAATCATAAAAACAACTACTTTATAAAGATTATTTTCTCAATCTTTACCAAATTGTTTACAACTTTGATATTGGGCTGCTTTTTGGAAATACATCATACCCACAAGAAACACGCAATCACTTGATAACCTTTGTCAATATTTTTTCTAATATACTATAGGGCGTAAATTTATAATTTTCACCACTGCAAAACCATTCAGGTAAAGAAATATGATAGATTTTAGGAGGTAATGAAAAAATTAGGAGCTGTAATAACATCTATTGACTCAAAAACAGTATGTTTGGTATGCTTGATATTTCTTGACCTAATGTTATTAAACTGATTTGTAGCATTGCTGCATGTTTGAAACATGAATTGCAATAAAGTATTTACATTGCAAAATATTGTTTCGTAGAATAAAAATTACTAACAATATCTATTTTTTTATTTCTAATAATTGTAATTATAATACAAAATTACAAACCTTTGAAATTATTTTCAACTTAGAGTTTTAGGCAGTCATGGCAACATTTAGGATAATTTTAAGTAGCATGTTGATTTATAGCTAACTGAAGGTCTATTTCAGTATTCTGTGTTATTGGAATACACTAAAGCTAGCAATCAGTTAGCGTAAAATTCAGAAAAACATAACGTAATTGTTTAAAAGAAATGTAACTATTATTTAACCATTTTAATAATATAAGAATAAAACATTTATAATGCAAACACGAATCAAGCCGTGTAATTTAAATATGCCATGATTCAACTTGTTTTTGGTCAAAACAGTGCGGAGTATAAGGAGTAAGTGCAGAGCTTTAAAGTAAAATTTTTCAAGCTTTGAACGCGTCAATCTTTAGTTAAAAAAAATGCAATTTTATTAATTTTAGTAAGAAAAATTAAATCCTTAAAAAATTTTGAGGTATTTAAATTAAATTTAAGTTTTTAATTTAAATTGTAAACAATTTATTTATAAACATTAGACGTTAAAAAAGATTTCGTTATCTAAATAAAAAAAAGAATATATATATTATGATAATAAAATCAACACAATTATTTATTTTTTGCCTTAAAAATATATTATGATAATATCTACTATCTAAGATTTGAAATTATAAAATCTATTTATAAAATATTTAATTATATATATCTGTTTCTTTTAAATATATATATATATATATATATATATATATATATATATATATATATATATATATATATATATAATATATATATATATATATATATATATATATATATATATATATATATATATATATATATATTATTTGTACCAGTTTTTTTAATTGTTTTAAATCAATCAATTGATGAACATATATTATAAAATATATGCAATTTTCTAAAATTAAGATTCGGAAGAATTTCTTCTAGAGCCAAAAATATGGTCGTCAGGATCTGGAGCACAGCGAAAATCTGCGTCTGCATCATCTTCATCGTCTGATACTTGTCGTGAAATCGAAGGTGACGTATGGGCCGATGGTGGTCTGGGAAAACGAAGATTCTAAAAAAACGCGTTTTAAACTTTTTAATAAAATAGTGAAAAAGAAAAATATTATTTTAAGTTATAAAAAATTAAACATGAAATAAAAATAACATGAAACAAAAATAACATGAAATAAAAATAAAACACTTACAAGTTTTTCTTTATGAGGTCGCACTCTTGGAGTTCGCTCGGGATGAGTTTTGGTGATTGCAAGCATTCGAGCTTTCTGATAATACTATTTAAACAAAAACAAAAAAAGATGTTTATTAACTATTAATTAAATTGTTATTTCAAACCTCATGTTTAAAACACACACAGACACACACAACAATGTATTTAACAGATAGCTGAAGTTTTTGTGATGCTCGTTGCTTTTTTATTAATTACTAATCTTTTGAAATTCTTGCATATTATTAAATTATTATTATTATTACATATTAATTCTTCTTTTTCTTCTGCTTTTGAAGTAGTTGTAATCAAATATTTAATTATCTAATGCTTTAAAAAAAAAATGTTGCAAAAAAATAAATATTGAAACTAATTAAAACAAACCCCCACGTATTTTATTTCAAAGACCACTTATTTTTCTCCTTACACCACCCTAATCCAGTGAATCAATTACGGCCCATAAAAATGGGTAACTTAACCATTGAATCTAGAAAAAATAGTATATAGTATAAGTTTTTGCGCTCCATTGTTTTTTAAACCTTTGGGATCCAGCATGACATTAGATGCCAAACTTTTTTATACTATTTCTCTGTTACTAATCATGGAGCCGACCTTAATACATATTATTTGCCACTTTGTTGCTTTTTACTATTATTTGACCCATTTCTGTTTAATTCCATTAACATTTTGATCTTATCAAAATATTAAAAAAAAATTCAAACATACAAACTAAAAAATAATTTAGAACTACAGTTAGGTTGAAAGTAGATCAGTAATCAATTAAAAAGTTTGTGCGCTAATTTTTTTGCACAACATTTTCTGGGTTGTTTTTTAATTGATATAACTCAATATTTTATCAATGAAATACAATTGACGAAAGTAACACAAAGCAACAAGTTCGCTTTGTTTTTTATGTTTGACATTGCAAAGAAATAGTTTTCTTGTTGTGCAAAAAAAAAAAAAAAAAAAAAAAAAAAAAAAAATTGATTAGCAAATATAGTTACTTATAATTGCTTTTAAACTTTTGATCTTAAAAATTTTTTGTTTTTTTAACTAACATAAGCGTGTATAAAAAAAGTGTACTTCCGCATAGTAACATTAGCGTGTATAAAAAAAGTGTGCACCCGCATACTAACATTAGTGTGTGTAAAGGAGGTGGAAATATGGAAATTATTTTTAAGAGTTAATTTTAAAACTCAATGACCCACAAGTTCTTATATACACACATACGTACATACATACATACATACATACATACATACATACATACATACATACATACATACATACATACATACATACATACATACATACATACATACATACATACATATGTACATTAGGGTTATGATTTTTTTAACTTTTGTCACAGTTTTAATTGGTCATAGTTTTAAAACCTGATAGTTAATATTAAAATTTCATAGTAATATTGAATATAGTTAAAAAATGTTCCCCACCCACTCATCATTAAGTTATGCTATAAAAATATTGTTGTTTTTATGATTATTATGGAAGTATATGATTTTTAAATTCGCTATAAAGCATAAAACACCATTAAGTAAAAACTATTTTATATGCTTGTGTAATATGTTGGTCTGAACTGAAATATTACACAAATACAGAAAATAGTTAATACTAATGCGTTTTGAGTTTTAATCACTTCTTTTGTCTTAACCCATTTCAATGTCTTTTTTAATTAATTTTATATTTATACAGTAAATTTTTAAAGAAAAGTATTTTTATTAAAATAATATTAAAACATAGAACATTACTAACATATATTATCCATGCATTTTAGATTTTTCTAATATGGCAAATAAATATTTCAAATAAATATAGCAAAACTGTTGTTGACAAATATTCAAGAGTATGGACAAAAAAATTACTTTCGTTTGAAAAACGTATAAGATCAAGAATTGGTCTACCCTTTATTGAAAAACCAATGGATTCATTTAATAGAATGTTAAAAAAAACTTTTATTATTGGGCGTTACAACTACCTGGCATCAATTGAAAAAAGCAGAAAAAAAAGAATAAAGTTAATTGCTGTCGAAATAAGTAAATTATGGAACAAACTCAACTTTTCAAGTATTTTTAAAAAATCAGTTGGAAGAAAAATTGAAAAGATTATAGAAAAACAAAAAGGCAAAAAGAAAGAATGCTCTGTTTTTGGAGATCTTTTTGATATCACCAATATTAAGGGCACATGGCTTAGTCTGAAGATAAAAATTTTTATAACATACAATTATTAAGTTCAGGAGAAGTTGGTCACATACTAACACACAAATGTCATTACATCCTTCAAAAGTCAGAGTTTGTAATGCAAAAGATACAACTTCTACAAGCAAAGCAAATAATTTTCCAGTTAACAGTTCAACTGCATCAGAAGAAAGTGGTTCAGATTTAGATTCACAAGACAATTATGAACCAGTGGAATTAAAAAAATCAAGAACGAGAGTATATAATAGAACCAAGTTAGCATCTAATCTTGTGATAACTGTACCTTTAAGTACAAATAAATCAGCTAGAATCTGTAAAAAGTTATTTGAAAAAGGTATTGAAATAGAAACTCCAAGTCAGTCATATGGAGATCAACTATAAGGCAAGGGGAAAGCATGAAGAAAATTGTTGCTAAAATGGTACAAGAAAAATTCTGCCTACATTTTGATGGAAAGAAAATAAACAAGACTGAATACCAAGTTGTAATACTTCAAAATGAGAAAAGGAAAATTAACTTAAGAATTGTTAATTATGAAAGTGGAAAATCCAATGATATTTTTGAAGCTGTTAAAAAATTGCTAAATGATTTTGATGCATGGAAATGTATTTCAACGATTATATGTGACACAACAGCAGTAAACACAGGAAAATTAAATGGTATAGTTGTAAAAATACAAAATGAAATGGAAACCAGAAGCTTTACTAAACAACAATATTTAGGATTTCAGCATCATATACTGGATCTCCTTTTAAAACACGTTTTGGATCATTTTGTAAATTGTAAATGAACAAGACCTGGTTTTGATTATAAATTTGTGAAGGATTTAACCAAAAATTATGAAAATCTTCAAAAAAATTATACATATGAAGCTAAGCCTAATAACTACATAAACTTGGGATAGCGAGATGACTTCAAATTTCTTTTATGAGTTGTTTGAAGCTTTTAGTTACTTCAAGAATCATAAAAAATTACCAAAAATTAAGTGGCACAAGCATCCTGATGCATTCACAGTACTAGATAGAACTCTAGAGCATCATATGTTCTTCTTGCCTATTTTCTTTTACCAACATGGAGGTGTGAACTTGTGCAGTAACTTTTATTGCAAATCAATGGAAAAAACTTTTGTTCAGCAAACAATTCTTTGATGATAAATCATATGACTACATGCTTGATGCATTCACTGAAATTAAGTGCACAGCTGCTTTAAAGTGATTATGAAACACTGGAGCAAAGAAGATAGTGTAGTTTATATTTCAAGAACAGACATCATTGCTGAATGACGCGTTAAATTGATGAAAGATCTCCTTCAAAATTCAAAAAAATGGGAATATGCAAATGTGAAATTTATTGGAAAGAATGACATGTGAAACATTAAAACTAACTTGCTGAAAATAATTACTTTTATTGATCCACTTCAATGATATGTTTATAAATACTAAATATAGTTTACAATTAGTTTTATTTATTTTTGTGGCTGTTCATAAATGGGTTGGAAATAAGCTTTATGTGTCCTCATGTAATCTAAGAAAAATCACATTACTGTCAAGGGGGGAGGGGGATATTTTTTGCAACTAGACTACCATTAAACCAGTTTTTTATCAATTACTCAACATTTCTCAGGTTATAGAAGTATGTCCACAACAGGTTCAAAAAATGTCATAACCTTAATGTACATACATACGTATAAATATACTTGTATGTATATTTTGTTAATATTATATATCTGTATATATTTTCAAAAAAATTTCTTATAAATATTTTAGATGACAAAAAAAAAAGTTTTACCATTCCTAAATTCTTCCAATCCAGAAGTTCACTTAATCTTTCAGTGCGATTTCTCAAGATAATTCTCTGACGTCTTCGGAGCAGACAGAAATCATACATATGCTAGTAAAACATTAAATTTACTCATAAAACACAAAGCTCATCTTTGTGTTTTATGAGTAAATTTAAAAAATAAAACAAAAACAAGTTGTTGAGAAAAAAAAATCAAAAAATTTAAAACAATTAAAAAGTAGTAAATCAAAAAAAGAGAAAAAATACATCAGAAATTTGATGAATTGATTCAAACGCAGAAGAAAATTTCCGATCAACAATAAAAATTCCATAAAACTCTGGATAATCAACGTGATCGGCCATGAAACGACCAAATCCAGACAAATTTGTTGAAATGTTTGGAACTCCCATAACAGTACACTCAGCTAAAAAATTTAAAAAAACTTAAAATATTTTCTAGCTAACAAAATTTGTAATTTATTGTAATATGAAATTAGTTTTTATTTTTAATTAATATAAACAATAATAATAACATTAAAAATAATAGCAAATGGAAATTAATACACCATTTTCAATTTTTGAATTCTAAATAGAATAAAATTTTTACTTGAAATTAATGGAGTATGTAATAATTTTTTTTTACTTTATTTTTGTTAATGTTATGCGTGTATGTCTGTGTGTGTCATTAAAAGCAATTTTGACATTTCAAAAAGTTTGAAATAAAACAAAAAGAAATTCTAATAAGACTTCTATTTATAAAGAAAAAAAAATTACCTGGAGTATAACCCCATGGTTCATAATAAGATGGGAAAATGCCCAAATGACAACCTCTAACAAACTCATCATAGTCAATTGGAAATAAAGGATTTGTTTTTGACAAAAACTCAGGATAAAATATGATCTAAAGTAGAAAATTAAATATGATAAATTTAAATACAACAAATCAAAAATACAATTTCAAATAAAACTGAAAACAAATAAAACCGAAAATAAATAAAGAAAACTTGCCAAATGTGAAGAAAATTAGAGAAATTTAAATTAGATTAAATTAGAGAAACAAAACTCATATTTAAATGACAACGTTGTTGTCATTTTGATATAAACTATCACACTTCTATATTAACCTGAAAATACAAACTATGTTTTGAAATTCAGAAAGACAAAGGTTTAAATAATAGTTAACTGCACAAATATTTTTCAAATTTTTTAACAAGTAAAACACAAGAAAATATGTTTTAATAATTATAAAAAAGAATTGGAATAAAGAATTGAATAAAAAAGATTGAGAATAAAAAAGATTGGAATAAAAAAATTGTATGATAAGCTTTGAAAACTTCTGAAACCTCATTGAGGAAAACAAGACTAGTTGTGAAATCTATTATTTTTGTCCTAGAGTCCAGCAGTCTAAAGTCTGTAGTTTATTTAGACCTGGTCTGTAGTTTATCGTAGATCTGGATTATTATTATTATTGTAGTCTCTACAATAATAATAATAATCCAGATTTCAAAATTCTTTAAGTCTTGCACAATGTTAATCTGTTAACTCAATTAAAATAATTAAGATAGTTTTTTTTTAAAGCCATAATGTTTTATAATTAAATTATTAAACTGTTAACTTAAAAACCATAGTGCTATAAACCATAAATGTAACTGGCTAGTTTGAAAATAAACAAAAAGAAAAATAATTATTTGTGGATGGAATATTGAATATGAACAGAAAAAATAAAAATGTGTATTCATAAAAATACAGATTCAAATCAAAAAAATAGTAGAAAAATCTGTTAAATTCAGAATTAGATTTAGAAGGTCAAAGTCTTTGATTACCATTAGCAGAGTCTTAGCAAAGGCAGCTATTTAAGAAGGCTAGAACTTGATTGTATTTCAACAGTTGTAAAAAATAATAAGTTAGAAATATTAGGAGTAGGTTTGAAATATTGCTGTTTTATAGAAGTTATTTTGAGTTCAGAAGATCAAAGATTTTGGTTACCATTAGTAGTGCTTTAGCAAATGCAGTTATTTAAGAAAGCCAGAACTTGATTCTATTTCAACAGTTGTAAAAAAGATGAAATGAAAATTACTAACAAAAATTTTAATTAAGTTTATGTGAAAAACAAACAAGTAATTTTAAAAGTCAAACAAACAAACAAACAAAATGAAATGCAAATTAAACTCAGTTTTATTAAAAACAAGTTATTTAAAATCTGAATAAAAAAGTCAAAAAAATACTTTAAATAAATAAGCATATACATCAAAAACATTGTAAATTACTTAATTTTTAGTTAATTATGAGCACCAGTATTTTGTATGATGTGACCCATCATACAAAATACTGGTGCCAAGTGAATGTGAATTCAATGCTAAGTGAACCAGGATCCAATATGGACCCCCTCAGATTTTGATGAAACTTGGTGGGTTGGTTTATACCAATGAGAAAAGCAATTCCTAAAAATTTCAGCTAACAATCTTTTGTGGTTTATGAGATTTTTGAAATTTCTAATTTTCCAAAAATTTACACTTCGTTAGCAAAAACATATTTTGTTCATACTTTGAAGCTCTGTAATTAAAAAACGAAATTTCAGAAAACCTTCTAGTTTTTTTTATTATATACAACTGTAAGCTTACTTTGTTAAAACCTTGACATTGAACTTTTTAATTACACATTTTATTCATAATGGCTGCCTAAAAAACCTAAAAAATTGTTTGCAGATATAAAAAGTTGGTTTTTGATGGGTCAATATACAAAATTAGCAACTTAAGAAGTGAAAGAACATACTTTTTAGTTTCTATATATAGTAGGCTTCCTAATTTTTAAAAAACTGCTTATAAGATACGATTCAGTAAGAAATAATGGACTCCTAAAAATGGCTCTGGTGAAAACTTTAAAAATTGTGCCTTCCCTTTAAACCACCGGTAACCTAGGATCAACACTGATTTTCATAGTAAATGTTTTTTTACTGATTTAACAGGCTATAATAATGTGAATTCAGAAAAAAAATTAGTGGTACTCATGGGGAAGTTACAAAGTCAGAACAATGAAGTTGGCACAAAATGCATTAAAAACGATAAAAATATAGATATTGATGTATTTTAGTTTTCATTATCTACTGCAATGCAAAAAATATATATATAAAAGTATATCATAATTATTACTAGAAATAAGATATAAACTAAGATTGAATTAAATTCAGTTTTTAAATAACCTTAGTTGCCTCTCCTCGCCCTATCCATTTACTTTTTAACATGCATATTTTTGCACAGAACATTCTCATCATAGGAAAAACTTTTTGCTCAATTAATTTTATTAATTAGTTATTGAACATTTTACCTTAAGCAGTGTGTCATATAAAAGCTGTGACATCTAGTTTGTAAAGTTAGATAGAACATATAAAAGCAGCACATTAGGTAAATAAATAAAATAAAGACAAGTTTTATTCTTACTATCTGCCCAAAACATATTTGTTTTCATATCACTTATTTTTTTACTAATTCATATTCTGACTTTAAATTTTGTATAAATTTTCCCAAAGCATTTGCTATTCCGGCCTTTCCAATTTATTTGATTATCATTGTTTAAATTTAGGTTACAGATTATACCAAGTGATAAGAGTTGTTTGATTTGTCATCACAATACACAAGTTTATTATGTAATATATATTATGTAATCAAAATATTATCTTTTAATAAAATGTCAACATATAAATTGAATCATTCGAATTTGCTTTAATAAAAAATGATTGCACTTTTAAAGATGAAATTTTGCATAGAACATGTGTAATTGAAACCCAGCAAATATCTTCTCTAAGTGGCCAAGTAAAAGTGCTTGAGGAAATAGACTGCTTCATGAACTTTATAAGGATATCTTGATTTTCTTCAGATATTTCCACAATATTACCTAAAAACCATTTTTCATCATAAACACATGCTATATAAATTCCTTGTGAAAGAGAGGCAAGTGGAATGGTATAGTTCTGCTGCATTGTTGAAATATTTACATTAGTAAACACATTGTCAAATGACACCCGTCTCATCTGTAAAGTTGTTAATGATTTTGGTATAAGACAATGGTGGTTTCTTGTTCCTGGAATTGTTGAACAAGTAGCATAACGTTTGTCTAATTTAAAATTTATGCAATGTAATGTAACTGTATCATTTGAAATGTATTGAAAATGTATTCCTTTAATATTTTGTCTACACCAATCATACATTTTCTCAGATGAATTGATAGGATCAGTTAGTGATTGTAAACTTGCCCTTGCTACAAGTCTTTTAACAGTGCCCCCAACACCATCACAAGCACTCTTTCCATGTGATGTAGCAAAATGCCATTCTGCAGACACCTCATGATCTTGTTCATGGTAACATAAGTTAGATATGTTTTTATAATTTTTTTATTGTGAACTTGCACCTGAAATAAATGCAATGGTTTTGATACTTCATGAATGAAACAACGAACTGAGTTTGTATTGTGTTGCAAATGATCTGAGATGATACAAATACTTTTACATTTTATCTTATTTTCTTCCATAAAGTAAATAACAAAAGGATGGAATGTTGCTTGGCTGTTGTTCCAATGGACTCCTTGTACTGCATCATGAATTAAAAAACTGTAATTTTCAGCAAAGTCTAGTAATATTAAAATATGATTACTAGGTAATGTGATTTTTAGATGCTGCAAATATGCTGCTTGATTTTTGGCTATATAGTGATGGTCTCTTAATTGGTCTATTTGTTGACAAGCTTTTTCAATAAAATCATCCACTGGAAGAGTTATTGGAACTATATCATATTTTTTGTTAGCTTTTTGCCACTGATTAAATGTGATTTTTTCAATGCTATGTTTATCAAATATAGTAGTAAGATACTCTTTAAGTGTGTCAGTATCTGGGCAATTATCACAACTGTGCAGCATGCATTTTCGATTTGTAAAGTCACATACAACTAATGTCAAAAGATTTTTATAGTCGGAAATATCTGGTATTTTTAACGCTAAAAGTTTGGCATTCTGGTGGTACTCACAAACGCATACTGAGTGGAGACCTGAAGCACCTCCAACAGGAATACACCACTTTGGTCTAAGTTCTCAGAACTTAGAAAATCTAATTTTGACATAAATTATCTAAATAAAGTTTTTTTATATTAAGTAATAGTAGTCTTTTTTGAAAATGTTGTCTTTTATCATCGACTTGGATTGAGACATACTGCTTTTTCCCTGGACACATTCGAGTGTATTCATCTGATTGGTAGAATTTATGAACTTGACTTTTTACTTTCTCACTAATAGGTCTTCCTTCTTTTTTAGACGGTTCTGGCAGTATGCCATGCATTTGTTTCAAATGTCTTGCAGTTTTTATCATTCTTTGAGAAGCAGAAAAATAGTTTTGTGTATATTCAATTTTCCAACTCTCAGGAACCAAAGTTAGTAATTTAAGTTTTTCTGATTTTGAAGAATTATCAAACTTTGCTTTAATTAATTCCATTAGTAAGTCCAAGTCTTGTTTACTGTCACAACCTAGCTCTTTTGTTTTTGGTTCATCATTTATTAAATCGGGAGAAACTTCTAAAACAGATGCTATTTTCTTTTTGGTGGCAGTATGTATCTTGTTCATCTTTCTTTTTGAATAGCTGACCCTGTCTTTATGGGCTACTAGTTTTAGAGGTGAGCAACCAAGGGTATTAATGCTTAAATTAAAGTTTTCTTTTAAAAAATGAATCTCATTAAAATCATTGCCTTTATTTTTACATGAATCGTTTTCATAATCTCTTTTGTTATTTTT